AAAGATCACATATTTCAATACTCTGATTTGATAATGGGAGACATTGGGACTTGGGGGAGGGGTTTGGGACCAGCCCCAGGTCACAGATGTTGTAATGGAGCCAGCTCGTGATGTCAAGGGGGCTGGTCACAGATTCAGAGTTGGAAGGAGGGCCCTGAGAGGACATCTAATCCAGTTGTCCAGGGTTACCATGGTTGTAGGTGTCAGGGCCAAGATTTGAACCTAGACCCTTGCTTCGAAATCCCCCTCTCTTTTTTCTTGCCCGGCCTGACAGGTATCCCCAGGCCGGAGACAAAGCAGGGCCATCCTTAGGCAAGCTTAGCGGATGCTGTTACACAGTCGTTTCTGTGACTGTGCCTCTCCACTCACACCCAGTCCAAGTTCCTGCTCCAGTCTGCCCTGATGAAGGGACAGTCCAGGGCTGGGAACCCTGTAGGTATTCAAGTGTGGCCCTTTGACTGAATCCAGACTTCACAGAACAAATCCTCAAAAGTTTGGATTCAGTCAAAGGGCAGCACTTGAGGACCTAGAGGGCCACATGTGGCCTCAGGGCCGCAGGCTCCCCACCCCTGGGACAGAGCAAAGAGCCATGGGCCTGGCTCCCATGGGGGCCCTGTGATCCCAAGGAAAGAAAGGGGCAGTTGGAGTCAGGACTTGGATGTGGTTTCTGCCTCTGCCCCTCGGTCCCAGTGGACCTTGAATCCTAGACTCCTTAAGTCATATAAGGAGCCTTCAGGGCTATCTGATCTAATCCTCTCGCCTTACAGATAAGGAAACTGAGGCCCTGAGAGGTTCAGTGACTCATGCAAATTCACACAGTCGTGGAGACAGGATGCCTGATGCTCTGCCATTCTGGGGCCTTGAGACCTCATCTCTCCTCCTCACTTGGTTAGGAGCAATGAAAAGGATCTTACCTCCATGGCTCTCCGCAGACGCAGCTGAGCCTGGGTGTGGTATGGGTGTTTGTGAAGGGCTGACAGGCCCACACAGCTGCAGAAGCCCCTTTCATGAAGGGAACAGAGAGCTGATCTTGGAGGAAAGAGGCCTTGATCTAGTCCCAGCTCTGAGACACTGACCGCATGGCCCTAGGCAAGTCCCATCCCCTGAACAGTCCTCAGTTTCTTCATCTGTTAAATGGGATTGGTCATATTTAACTGGAGCACTCAAGATCATTTGGAGGACAGTGTTTTGTCAAGCACCAGAGAAGTGGGAGCCTTCATTACTCTATAATTCTGGGCTTCAATTTCCTCATCTGTGAAATGGTGAAGATAGTGTTAAGCTCCCTACTACCTCTCTCACTGAGCTGCTCTGAGGTAACTGTTGTTCAGTTGTTTTCAGTAGTGTCTGGCTCTTGGTGACCCCATTTGGAGTCTTCTTGGCAAAGATACTAGAGTGGTTTGCCATTTCCTTCTCTAGCATATTTTACAGATGAGGAAACTGAGGCAAATAGGATTAAATGCCAAATTTGAACTCGGGTCTTCCTGACTCCAGGCTCAACGCTCTATGCACTGCAGGACCATGTGGGGTCTTCATCAACCTGAAAGGGTGCAGGAAAAAGGAGCCCAGACTATAAGAGGAATTGGGAATTATAATATCCTTGATCACAGTATCACAGATCTAGGGACCTCAGAGGCTAACTGGTCACACTCATTTTTGGGACAGGAATGGCCTTGATAGCCTTCCTGACTAGTGACCATTCAGTCCTGCTTAAATACCTCCAGTGATGGGAAACTCACCACCTCCCCAGAGAGCCTACTCACTCCCTGCACTTTGGGACAGCTCTCACTGTTAGGATATTTTTTCTTGCCATCAAGCCTTAATGTGCCTTTTTGCAAAGCCTAGCATCATTCCTGCTGATGACAGTCCTTCAGAAGCTTGAACAGAGCGGCCATCCCCCATCCCACACCCTCCCCAGGTCTTCCGCTCCTCAGGTTAAACTCCTCCCACATCCCCCCCCCTTGGAATCCCAGACCGCACAGTCTCTGATTGACTTCAGCTGGCCCAGCCTCTTTTCTGGCAGCAAAGGTTTGGAGGCTGGCCCCATGTTCAGCTCATCCAGAACTGAGCATGTGAATGAGAATGGGGAAACCAAAGTAGGCTGTGTTTTTTTCTTTCCTTATTTGTTAGTTCATGTCAAATCCTTAACATAAACATTATCCTAGAGTTAGCTGTGGAGGCCACAGCCCAAGAAGGTTTGTTATTCTAAACAGGCGGGGCCTACCACTTTCTGGGCGTTGAGTGTCTCAGCCAGCCTCAGGGCTCAAGATACGAATGAATGAATGAATGAATGAATGAATGAATGAATGAATGAATGAATGAATGAATTCTAAGTCATCTGAATATGGAAGAGACTGTGGTGGAGTGGACAGAGCCTTGGTTGGAGAGGCAAGAGAGCCTGCCATCTGGACCCAGCTTTGTCTCTGACTCTGTCACCTGGAGCATATCCCTTTATCCCCTTGGATCTCTTTCTACCTCAGTAAAACTGGGGGAATGAAGGTTCAGGGCTCTCCCAGGCCTGACATTCCATGTTCGATGTGCCAGGGTCCCTCCAGGTTCTGACTTCTCTGTTCTTAGCTTAGGGGACTGGTGCCTATTGCCTCGTGCCCATAGAGGATGGGGAAGGATGACGGCAGAGTCATAGCATGGGCTTTCTAAGCAGTGGGTGATAAATGTGTTGTCAGTGGAAGCAAATCCCGTGCTCTGTGGGGGCATTTCAATGCCTGGGGCCCTGTGAGACCCAGGTGAGATGCTGGTTCAGTTTGCTGAGCTTTCCCCAGCTCCTTGTTTCCAAGAATGGCTTGCTAGGAACGAAAGGAAGGAGGAACATGTTCAGAAATGGAGGTGATGCAAAAAACAAGGAGAGCAATTTAAAAAATGCCTGTTGAGGTCTTCCTCCTGTTTCTCCTCCACTCCCATGAAGTGTCCTTGATTTCCATCCCACCCCCAGGGAGCTCTCCTTTCCCAAATTCTCCTGAGCATTCCTCAGGAGACCCTCCTTTCCTCAGTCACACTCTTCCTTGGAACCTCATTCTCTAGGTACATCTCCTATCCCCTTCCTGCCTCCCCAAATTTAATGTAAGCCTCTTGAGGGCAGGGACTACCCATGTGGCTATCACTAGCACAGGCTCTGCAAAGAAGTAAGTGATTAATAGATGTTTGTGGAATGAGTTAACTTGGGACTGGTGACCTAACCCTGGGCCACCTTGATCACTGAGTGGGGTGGAGTGGCAACCATTGATAGGCCCCCGTAGGAGCATGAGGGCTTGGAATAAGTCATGAAGTAGCAGAAGCCAAGGATTGGGAGTCCAAGGACCCAGGTTCAAATCCTTGTTCTGCCAGTGACTTTCAGCATGCTCTTGAGGCCTCATTTACCCATCTGTAAGATGAGGGGCTGGGGTGAGTTGATCGCTAAGCTTCTTTCCACTCTAAATCTTCTGATCCCAAGTAGTGGGAGGGCTGAGCAATACTAGTGAGTCTATTAAATGGATGCTTTCACCCCCGGCATGGGCCATGTTTGTGAGAGCTGGTTTCCATGACAACATTTCCATCAGCCGGATGGACCCCTCCTTCCTCTTTTCTCCTGCTGTTTTCCATCTGTGACTGTGAAGCTGCCGTCAACAACCAGCACCTAGCTGGCTGTGGCTAAGATTTTAGCACCCCGGCAGTCAGAGCAGGAATGCCTGGAACATGCCAGAGACGGCTTGGCCCACATGGCAGGGCAGGGCAAGACTCTCCAGGGAGCTGAAGCCCTCTCCTTCAGCTGGCCCTCCCTGCTGTGAGAGAGTGGATTGGGATGATTAAGGGGAGTTCCAACATTACGATTATCCCTCCCTCCATCTGCTTGTTCATTCATACATTTGTTCATTCATTTGCTCATTCATCCATCCGTCCATCCAAGCTTCTGACTATCCATTTACTTGTGCATGCTCCATCCAGCCATTCACTCATCCATGCATATGTCCATATGTCTGTTCATTCATTCATTGACTCACTCACTTATGATCTGTCTACCCATTTATTCATTCATGTGTTCATTTTCCATCCGTATCTCTCCGTCTCTGCCTCTTCTGTTCATTCATTCACTTATGATCTGTCTATCCATTTATTCATTCATGTGTTCATTTTCCATCCGAATCCCTCCATCTCTGCCTTTTCTGTGCATTCCTTCATGCATCTGTCTGTCCTCCATTCATCCATTCACTCTGTCACTTACCCAACAAGTGCTTACTAAGCACTGACTGTGTGCCCAACACTGTTCTAGGTGCTGGGGACACAGAGAAAAGCAAGTCAGCCCCTTCTCTCTGGGAGTTTACATTCCAGTGGGGAGATGTGGCATACATATTGGGACTATATGCAAAATACATACAAATTAAATACAAGGCAGTGGGGGTGGGAGGACCGGGGAAGCTCTCCTGCCTTCATGGCTGTGCTTTCCATCCACCTCTCTGCCTGTTCGTCTGTTGGTTGGTTCCATCGGGCCTTCATTTGTTGTTTCATTTGTTTTTCTTGCCCATTTGTTCTTTTGTACATTTAATGAATCGGTCTGAGACCATCCCCAACCTACTCTGTAAAAGTGCAGCGTTCGTTCGTCAATGACAATGGCTCCATCCCCCGCTTACCCTTGTAGAATCTGTCATAATTTACAAAGTGTGTTGGCAGCCACGCTCCCGTGAGACGCTCAGGAAGCTGGACGAGGTAGAAAGTTTACAAAGCATCACCACCCCTCCCTGAAAGAGCGGGAAACTGAGGCCCAGGGAGATAAAATTTCAAGCTCAGTTGTTGGTGATAGAACTCTGTTTCCCGAAGCCCAGGGAGGGGCGTTTTCTGCTATGTGCCCTGAGGCCCCTGCAGTCTGCTTAGTGCTTCCTTTTCTGACAGTGTATGATTGAGTAATGGAGAGAGGGGAGGTGGGAAGGCCTCCTAGGAGGGTCCTGTGGTGGGCAGGGCTCCCTCTGGCCCAGCTTTTCCTCAAACTGACTGTTGGCCCCTTGGGTCCCCAGGTGCTGTTTGCGCTGAATCAGACCCTGCTCCAGCACGAGAGCCTCAGGGCGGGAAGCCTGCAGGCCCCCTACACCACGGAAGACCTCATTAAACACTACAATTGTGGAGACCTCAACGCTGTCATCTTCAACCATGACACGTCACAGGTAAAGCCTGGTGGCCTGGGAGAGGAAGGACTACTTGAGGAGGGGAGGAAGGGGAGGGAGGAGGAGAGCCCAGAGGAGATCATCCCAGCTGCGGATCCTCATCCCATTTTACAGATGAGGAAACTGAGGCTCAGAAAAAGGAACTGGCAGCAGCAGAAGGGAAGTTTAGGATATGTTAGACCTAGGAGGGACCTTAATACCACATTGCTAGAGAAATAGTCCCATCTCTGACACAAAGTGTCTGAATACCCCTGGACAAATCACTTCATTTCTCAGTGCTTGGGGCAGTTCTCCAAGAGTAGGAGTCCATCTAATCCAGTTTACTCATTTTACAGAGGAGGAAAAGGAGAGGGAGGGAGGGGGGAGAGACAGACAGACAGACAGACAGACAGACAGACAGACAGACAGAGAAGAGGAGGGAGAGAGAGAGAGAGAGAGAGAGAGAGAGAGAGAGAGAGAGAGAGAGAGAGAGAGAGAGAGAGAAAACTTGCTGACAGTCACACAGACAGTAAATGTTGGAGGCCACAGTTCAAACTTAGATCATCTCACTCCCCATCTAACATTCTTTGTAGAGCACCAGGAGGCCCCAGGCAGTGGTTAGAGCTGGTGTCCCTGAGATCCCTTGGGCTCCCCCCTGAAATCCTGTATAGTTCTCACCCATAACAGATGGCATGGAGGGAGGTGGATTGCCACCCAAGGGCTACATGGAGGACTCCAAGACACTCAGCCATCTCATCCACTAATACAGGATAGGGGAGGGGTGACTAGGGAACAGTTTGGAGAAGAAAAAAAAAGACCTGGGGTTTAAGTAGAATGCAAGGCACAATGTGAGCTGTGTGATTTGGCGGTGAAGAAATCCACACGCTCTGGAAGGCGTAGTTAGAAGAGTAACAGCCACCCAAGGTTTGTAAAGTGCTTTGCTGGATCATCTCATTTGATTTCATTTGCTCTGCAGTGAGAGGCATAGTGTCAGGAGTGAATGCCATGTACCCACCCCACCACTCCCCACCTGCATCGGGAGGGGTGGGTTCAGTCCAAGGAGCCACTCTAGGAGGGGCCTGGAAGATGCTAGCGAGGTCAGGATGAAGGCAAGCAGGACCGTGCAGGGTCTCACCTTCAGGTCTCCCTGTGTAAGGCAGCCCACTAACAACAATGACCACACAATACAATACAACAAGCAATCGTGCTACTTAAGGTTTGTGGTTTATGTGCATTAGCGACTTTCATGGGGAGGAGCCGGGAATGTTTCATTTGGAGAGAAGACTTGGAAGAAGAGGGAAGGAAAGTCACACAATAGCTGAAGAAAAGAGGGATTAAGCTCCTTCTAATTGGCTCCAGAGGGTGGAACCAGGATCAGGCCTGGGGAGGGGGGAGTCACAGGGAGGTTAGTTTCAGCTTCACAAAAATGAAGAACTTTCTAATAAGGAGCAGTGTCCCACAGTGAAGTGGCCAGCCTCTGGAGACAGCAGGCTCCTCACTGAACGATGGAGGTGTTCCGGTAAAGGCTAAATGACTCCCTAGCCTGGAGGCTGTAGAATGAATTGTGGAGGGATGGGGGTTGGGTTAGCTGTCCTCCAAGGGTCACCTGCCTCTGAGAGTCTGAGTCTCTGATTCTCAATAGACTGTGTGGGACAAAAAGTGAGGTCAGGCCTTTTCCCTTAGATGGTCTTAAACTCGTGGTCCTTCTTGGAGGCCACTGGGATGCCCATGTCCTCATTCTGGGGGACATGAGGTCTTCCCCTATATAAGCACCATGAGGTTTTCTCCTGTCTTCTCCCTCCATCCTCCCCCTCTCCTAATCCCTACCCAAGAAGCGCACCCTGGTAAACTGTTTCGGCAGATGGGCTAAACCAGGTCGGGGTAACCAAGGGATCTCAAACCCATTGGTGAGTTGGGGGGATGTCTACCCCAAGCGTGCAAAGACTTCTCCTGGCAGAATGGGCGGATAAGAACAATTTGTTCCAACGGCCATGGCAGGGCTGAAGCAGGTGCTATGGAGTGCTTAGAGCTTGGTCAGACATTGAGGACGCCAGGGTCATGGACTGAATCTTAAGCCGTCACCAGTCATCTTGATTCTACCCTGCCACTGAACTGTTATGACTCTGGAGGCAAGAGTGCAGCTCTGCCTCGCTTAGATCCAATTTACCCACAAATCAAAGGACAGCACTCACAGCCCCACCCGCAGTCAACTTCTTATATCTTCTTTTTTAAGGTTACTTAGTATCTCCTTTGTGTTTGTCTTCTATATCCTACTTGTGTGCAAAATGTGTGTCCCCAGCCTACCCTCTAGCTTAGCACCTGGCACATAGTAGGTGTTTAAGAAATGTTTGTTGATTAATTCATTGATAAGTACTGATGGATTCTAGGCAGCTTTAGAGCAGGGGATAGAGTGCTGTCTTGGGAGTCAGGGAAATTGGTTCTGACAAACTGGCTGTGTGCTGTGTATCCTAGGACAAATCTAATAACCTCTAAGTGCTCTGGGCAGCTCTCTAAGAGTATAAATTGACTAGAAGGGTCTGACCTACTTTGATAGAGGGGACTTACTCATCTGGGAGTCCCCTACATCACTGAAATCATAGGTCCAGGCTGTATAGATCCTAACAGACCTGGAGGATTTCCCTGAGGGGCACAAAGTGGGAGCATGGTAATTTGCCAGGTCTTCTCAGAGGAGAAGGATTCATGATGGGCCTTGAAGGATGGGGTAGAGTCCTGGAGAGAAGTTAAGAGAGGGACATGGGCACTCTCACATCCTCCATAGGCTCAGCAGCTTCTCCAAACTTAGCCCTGATATCAGCAGTAAGAAAAGAGAAGGCATTTTCTACTCCCCTCTCCTCTCTTGGCCCAGGCCCCCATCAGTCATGGGTATATTTCTGTAGCACCCTAAATTTGGCAAAGCACCTTGTGGCTCTTACTTATATCAGTGCATCCTCACAGTAACCCTGTGAAGGAGACAGGCAGGCAGGCTGGCTAAGGTTTAATATCCCCATTTTCCCAATAGAGGAACTGAGGTTCAAATGAATTATCCAAGGTCACCCAGCTCATGAGTTTAGAAGCTGAGATTTATACCCCCAACACCAAGGCTTTCCCCCTCTGCCTGGGAGACCTTGGGCACACAGCTTTGTTTTCTTAGCGGCCTCAGTATCTTCTCTGTAAAATGGAGCTGATATCACACTTCTTCTTCTCTTAGGCTCTTGTGAGAAAATAGCTCTGTGAGCCTGAAATCCCGCTACAGATGTGTTATTAACATTGTTCTCGTTCTCATTTTATGGAGGAGGAAAGTGAGGCTCTGTGAGGGGAAGGACTTGACCAAGGTCACAGAAGTAGACTCATGTGTCCCCAAGTGCAAGTCCAGGCCACTTTCCATGACACACCAGCTCTTCTTCCCCTTGTGAAGTGGGCTTAGCTTGGGAAAGGGCAGGCTGGGGCAGGGAAGGAGATGTGCCATCTGCCAGCCATGGAGATTTAGGGCCCCAGCAGCCTCTGGAGCCCCTGCCCAAGCTCCGTCCCCAGGATGATGCCAGCCTGCTCTGAGCAAACATCTCTAAGCCTCCCCACTGATGGCCAAGCAGGACAGCCTCTTGCTCCTGCCCCCAGCTGGCTCCCAGGGCCCCTCAGAGCCGACACAGGACAATCGTGTAAGCAGATTGCTGGCGACGCCCACAGATATGCTGAGTTTCCTTTGCACAGTTCGGGAGGTTTTGAGGCTGGCTGGGAAATGGAGATGTTATGACCTCTTCCTTTTCCCTCCATCCTAGGAACTCTTGGCCAAAATCCCCGTTTCCCCCAAAGCAAGGAAGTCTTTCCTTGGCCAGCCAAAGAATGAGCCCAAGCTGAGGACTCAGAGCTGGAAGGGCCCTTAGAGAATGCTCTGTCCACCCCTCTCATTGTATCCAAGACCCTCAGGCTCGGAGAGGGAAAGAAATTGGCCCCAAGACACAGCAGATAAATGACTGAGACAAGATTGACTTAGGCTCTCTGACTCCAAAGCCGGGTTCCTTCCAGGCACCAGCCGAGCAGAAAGACTTCCCAGAGAACTTCAGAGACTCCAGGGAATGTTCAACTTAGGAGAACTTTAGAAATCAGCCCGTTCCCTTCATTCTTGTGGACTAAATGTCAACCCCTGGCTTTGATGTAAGCAAGGATGCCCCTTTGACCGGTCAAGTGTGTGACGGAGTATTCTGCCCCTTTGGGGGGGATGGAGGGTTTCCACTGTCGGCCACCACGGAACAATGGGAGACCTAGAAACTAAATGGGGCAACGGGGAGTAGTGGGGTCAGGAGAAGGGCAGAAGCAGGGGATGGGAGAATAGAGGGGGAAAAAAAGACTGAGGATAATTAGATCGCAGATTTAGAGCTGGGAGGACCTCAAAAGCCACTAAGTCCGATCCTCTCATTTTATACCTGAGGAAACTGAGGCACAGAGGGCTTAAGAGACTTGACCAGCATCCTCCAGTTAGTAGGTGTCTGAAGCAGGATTTGAACTCAGAATTTTAAAAATGGATCAATTATTCCCTGCTTTCCTCCCTCCCCCAAAGGAAGACTCAGGGGGCACCTGATAGCCAGATGAGGGATTTGACTCATGTTGTTTCACTTTCATTCAATGAAATAAACATTTATCAGTATCTTGTGCTAAGTGAAAAGGCATTCTGGACCTAACCCTCTAAAGGGAGAGGTTACAACATGCATTCAGAGAAGAAAAAAGTGATTCTGAGGGCAGGTATACACTAACAATTAGCAGGACAGCAGGAAGGAGGCTAATCAGAGGTGGTGACTGAGTAAGTGTTGTGAAGAGAACCAGAGTTCTTCAGAGATGGGAAGTGAGCAGATGCATTCCAGGTGTGGGGGCCCAACCTGTGCAAAGGTATGGAGGCAGGAGATTAGATGTCATTTTCCTGGAACAGCCAATAGGACATTTTGGCTGGAATGTAAAGTCTGTGGGAAATACGCCTGGAAAGATGGAGGGGACGGAAGGGGAGCAAGAGACATAAGCACTTTGAATGC